AAATTTCGATGCGTCATTCCTACTTGGCAATGGCTCTCAGCAATGCCTGAAATGAGGAGCTTCATTTTCTTATTATAGCTCCTCCAAATAGCTGTCAAATATGTTATAGTTGCCTTCCATCCCCATCATCATTTTATATTTCTGCCATATTGTTTCTTATGTTTTAAATTGGTTTTTGTTTTTGTTTTGTTTTTCTTTTTGGTACCAGTGATTGAACTCGGGGCCCCCTTAACAACTGAGTCACATCCTCAGCCCTTTATATTTTTTATTTATTTTTTATCTTATTTATATATTATATATAATGTATATTTTATATATATTAGTTGTAGTTGGACACAATACCTTTATTCATTTATACTTTTTAACGTGGTGCTGAGGATCAAACCCAGGGCCTTGCACATGCCAGGCCGAGTGCTCTACTACTGAGCCACAACCCCAGCCCTATATTTTTTATTTTGAAACAGTGTCTTGCTAAATTGCTGAGGCTAGCTTTGAACTTGTAGACTTCCTGCCTCATCCTCCTGAGTTACTGGGATTACAGATGTGCACCAACCTATTCATCTTCTTGTTTTGTTTTAAGCTCTTTGATAAGAAGGTTGCTTTGCTGGGCACAGTGGCACACACCTCTGATCTCAGCAATTGTAGAGGATCTCAACTTCAAAGCCTGCATCAGTAATTTAGTAAGAACCTGTCTAAAATTAAAAAAAAAAAAAAAAGGTAAAGGCCTAGAAAAAACATAGTTCAATGACAAAGAGCCCCTGGATTCAATCCTCAATATCAAAACAAAAAAACAAAAAACATGGCAGAGTGCTTTAATAAGAAATTTGGAGGCTGGAGCTGGGGCTCTGGTAGTGTGCTTGCCTTGCATCAATGAAGCACTGGGTTCGATCCTCAGCACTACATAAAAATAAATAAAGATATTGTGTGTCCATCTACAACTAAAAATATATTACAAAAAAGAAATTGGGGTATTATTTAGTAATGAGCTAGTATAGAGATTTATGAAAATATCTATTTTCTAGAAATGTATTTAATCTAAAATGAATTTTTGGCTTTTTTAGGATGCTAGGATGCTATGATGCTTTACAGAAAAAATATGTAAGTCTTTCAGTACAAATTTACTTCTATATTTTATATTCTATAAATTTAATAGGAATTGACATGTAGTAAAACATTAAATTAATTTGGGCATAGGCCAGTTTGAGTTACTGAAAAGTTTGAACATTTGAATATTTTAAAGCCTAATCTTCAACTCATTTTAAGCCTAATGTAATTAATACTAAAGAAATTTTGCCAAGCTGGTTTTGGTTAATTAATATTCATTGGTACTAATAGCACATACTAACTTAAAGAATTAATAAACTTATAGTCCATTTATTAGTTTCACATGCATTTTACAATCTTGTTTACACTAATAATTTAATAAATTATTTCTTAATTAGGGTTCWGAAAAAAATTTCCTTGGCCTCAAGATGTAATTCAGTGACAGGGTGCTTATCTCATATGCCCTGGGTTATCTCAAAAATGAAGTAGTTCATTTTTCTAGTTCAATCCCCAGTACTACAAATAAATAATTTATTTTTTAGAAAAAGATATTTATGAGGCTGGGGTTGTGGCTCAGTGGTAGAGTGCTCGCCTACCGTAAACGAGGCACTGGGTTCAATCCTCAGCWCCACATAAATGTAAAATAAAGATGTTATGTCCATATAAAACTTAAGAATAAATATTTTTTAAAAAATATTTATTTTTTACTTGTAGTTGGACACAATACCTATGTTTTATTTATTTATTTTATGTGGTGCTAAGGATCGAACCCAGGGCCTCACACACGCTAGGCAAACGCTCTACCACTGAGCCACAACCCCAGCCCAACAAATTCTGAATTAGTGAAATTTTAATGAAGTTTTTTTAAATAGACTAAGCCTTTTTACATATTTAATGTAATTTTATACTACATCTATAAAGAGATCCAGTTCTAGCAAAATTGTGAGGGTGAATTTTTATCCATAGTCCCTAACCTTTCTCATGAAGGCATAGTAAATATTTAGTGCCTACTATATGCAAGATGCATATTCTAGGTAGGACCAGGGTAAGGTAATAGTGGTCGACAAAACAAAGAGGGAACCTTTTATATTAGGAAAATAGTCAATAATACTTTCCAATAGTGTTAGATGCCATTAAATTTTTTAGGAAAAGTATGTGATCAATGTAGAGAACATACTTTAGATGGGATAATCAGAGGAACTTCTCTGAGGAGATGACTTTTGAACTGAAACCTGAATTAGAAGAAATCAGCCAGACATTGATTTGGGGAGAGAATATTCCTGGATGAGCAGAGCAAAGAATTATAGAGCAATTTGAGTTACAGGAAGAAAATGAGAGTCATAATGACTGGAAAGCAATTATGCCATGGGAGAGAATGGCATGAGATGAGCCGTAGAAAATAATTTTGAGTCTGAGCATTCAATGTTATATAGGTAAAGAGTTTGCATTTCAGGGGCAAAGAAAAGTCATTGAAGATTTTAAATAGAAATATAACATCATTTGATTTATGTTTTACGTTGTTTAAAAATCTGTCTACTGTTTAGAGAATATGTATAGAAGAAGAATAAAGTTGGGAGTAGGAGGAATAGCACTTAGGATATTACTATAGTAATGATGAGAACTAATGATGACTTAGAATGACAGAAGAGGAGATTCAGAATAGATAAGGGAGTAGAACTGATTGGATTGGTTGATGAATTGGTTGTGAAATATAAGGAAAAAATTATGATGATTCTAGATTTTTTGGTAGATMAGTTAGGTGAATAATTTCTATGATTTTTTTGTTGTTCTTGTTCCTRTGGTCTCCAAAGCCTGTCCCCTTTATTAAATGTATAGGACCCTTAGCTCTCTTTGCTCTTTTCACAATCAGTACTTAGGGACTGTGGTTATAACTCAATGGTAGAGTGCTTGCCTAGCATTCATGAGGCCTTGAGTTTGAGCCCCAGGATCCCCTGACCAAAAAATAATACTCATGTTGCTAACTTTTAACATGTTGTTCACAATATATATTTTTCTTCTAACTGGCAGTAATGTCCTGTTTTTCTTAAAACAATTAAATAATATGCTGACATGAATTTCAGCCATCAGTAAATCTAGCAGAAATAGATATTTTGGGGAATAGAGAAGCATAGATAAAGTGCTGCCTCAGATATGATATAAAGTTGTATCTTTAATAAATAAGAAAGTTTTTTTGTATTTATTTGTTTTAGATATTTTGATGCTAGAGATTGAACCCAGGGCCACTCACATATTARGCTTTTGCTCTATAACCAAGCTACATTTCCAGCTCCTGAATTAGTTCACAGAATTTTTGTACTCCGTCATGAAAAACTATTTTATAGGATACAAATAAGGTTTTTGTTCTTTGTTGTATTTCAGCTAAGGATGGTGGTTCTAGCTGTAAGTATTTTTAAGTTGTATGTTTTTTTTTAAAGACTGTCAATTTAGCCTGGCTTTATTAATGACACTAAAACTATGAATTGCTTATGTCACTTTATTCAAACAACTGATCTATTCAATGGGAAAAAAGTAATAAACTAATATTTTGGGTGGTCATTTTTGTTTTTGTTTTGCTTTGMYGAGTTCACTTAATACTTTTACTTTAAATGTCCAATTTACTTTTGCTTGAATACTTAACCTCAGATAACTCAACTATAAATTATTTTTAAATAGGTATACACCAATCCAGAAGACCCTCAGGTGCGTATTCTTGAGTTAGTAAAGAAACATAATGCTTCTAATATCAAAAATAACTCAAAACTACAATATATTTATATTTTATGCTTTTAATTGTGCTTTAATCAACATGTTTTGTATGTATTTTCATGTTTAAACCTTGTAAAGGTCTTCTGAAGTGAGTCAGGGCCTGTATCATTCTGTTTAAACAGATAAATACAGTTACTATGCGAAATTATGTAACTAATCCTAGCCCACAAAGCTTACAAACTGTTAGATATGACCTAAATTGCCTGACTCTTATTTAATTACAATATTCCTTATCTGCAATTATCAAAAGACATGAGTTTTGAGAAAAAATGAACTCATCCTTAACTTTGACTATTCATCTCAATTGAGGCACATCTACTACAGTTAAAGGAGAGAGGCAGAACAAGAAATGAAAGGGAAAACGAGAAGATAAGAAACGAGGGAACGACTGAATGCATATTTTATAGTAGTGCCTGTTCTTAGACTTTGTGAGCACTTTCATTTATTCATCATAATTACGATTATCATCTCCACTTTATAGATTAGGAAATTTAGGTACAAGGTTTCTTGTCCATGGTCTCTAAGTGCTTAACCATTACATTACAGGTGTTAAAAATAATGTTTCACACAGTCATGGAAAAGCAGATTTAAACTTATTTAAAAAACAAAGATAGGGGGCTGGATTTTTGTGGCTCAGTGGTAGAACACTCTCACGCATAAGGCACTGGGTTCGATCCTCAGTACCACATAAAAATAAATAAATAAATAAAATTATTTTTTTAAAAAAAGAGAACTGTTTCCTTTCTTTATGTGAGCACTGACACGTAAAGAAAGCAAAGTATTCCAACCTTCAGGAGGATTARGAATATATCTTCTCTGATATTCATGCTGGCTATCAATGCTTAATATACGCCCATAGTGACAAAGCACATGATTTGGGCAAAGGATATAAATTAGTTGACTGTTCAGAAAACTAATTAATTGTTCTGAAATGTTTATTACCATATGTTTTATAGTTGTGTACTTTTCTATCAGTAAATAAACAACTTTACTGATGTACTAATAGTATTATTGAATATTTAATGTGTGTCAGGAACTTTATTAAGGGCTTTGTATAAATTATCCCATTTGATAAAATTTACCATTACCAATTAGCTAGGTATTGTCTCCAGCCGTTTTTTAGGTTGGAAAACAAAGTTTAAATGGCTTGAATATGGTTACAGTATAGGAAAGATTTAAACCCTGTGCTTAGTGTATATCTTAGTTCATTTTCTACTGCTGTAACTAAATARCAAAAATGGGATACTTGTAAAAGAATAAAGGCCTAGTCAGTTTATAGTTCTGGAGACTTGGATCTAAGATTGAGGGGCCACATCAGATGAGGGCCTTCCTGCTGTTGGGGACTCTATGTTGAATCCTAAGGTGGCACACACATCAAATAATGAAAAGAGACAGTCTCATGCAAGAGACAGAGTCAAACTGTCTTTTATAACAGACCAGCTCTGGAGATAATCTATTAACCCATTAATCCATTAACCCATGAATGGACCAATCTATTCATGAGGGCAGAGGCCTCGTGATCTAATCTCTTTTTAAAGGACCTTCGTGGTCCCACCTCTTAATACCTCAGGTTGAGGATTAAATTTCAGTTTGAGTTCTGAGTTCTAATAGTGACTTTCAAACCATAATAGTTGTTTTCTTTCTTTTTTTTTTTTTTTTTTTTTCATCTGATACTGGGGATTGGACCTGGAGCCATTCTAAGTCCACCACCCTTTTTTATTTTTTATTTTAAGACAGTCTCACTAAATTCTGAGGCTGGCCTTGAACATGTGATCATCCTGCCTCAGTGTCCTCAGTTACTGGGATTACAGGCATATKCTACCACACCTGGCTATGGCAGTGTCTTAATGTTTTATGCTCCTATAGCAGAAATACTTGAAATTGGAAAATTTATAAGAAAAGATAGATTAATTTTTTGCAATTCTGGAGACTGCAAAGTCCAAGATCTAGGGGCCACTGGCATTTGATAAAGGCTTTCTTGCTGCATCATCACATGGTGGAAGATGGAAGGACAGGAGAGCATGGGTCAAAGAGACAAAGAAAGGGAAGAAAAATCCCAAAGGGACAAAAAGAGGGGGGAAAAAAAAAAAAGCTCAAACTCTCATCCTTTTATCAGGAACCCACTGCCACAATAGATGAAACTTTTTTACTATGATGAAGGTATTATTTGCAATATGTCCTGTGATAACAGCATTAATCCATTAATAAAGGCCCTCTGGACCAAATTCTCTCTTAAAAATCTTACCTCTCAGCACTGTTGTATTAGGGATTAAGTGTTTAATACAAGAACTTTGGGGAACACATTCTGTTGAGGTATTATCTCTCTCTTGCCTGCTTACTAAAGAGTTCTTAACACTTGATACACATAACACATTGCAATGACTGGGAGAATTAGACTGAAACTCGAAATCCAGATCATAGGGATTGACTATGAAGACTTGAGAGTGTCAATGGACCAATAGGGGTCAACATGTTGGAAAAAACTGTTAACTAAATGTTAAGAGTCATAAAAAAGCAGTATATAACTATTTGGCAGCCACAACTATGTGCCAGTTACATAATGGCAATGTTTTCTATTTAAGACAATTTCAGAATGTTACCAGTTTAAGTTCAAGTACACAAAAAATGGACCAATCATGGACTTTATAAGGTACTGTTCTGTAGTTTTTTTTTTTAATTTTACAGATTATTTGTTCATTAATACTATAAAACTAAATTTCAGTATTAATTCTAAAATTTGTCAAACCCCTAATTAGCCACCAAGATGTGACTATACAAATGGAGTAGTGACTTGGAGTGGCTACAAAGAAGATTATATAGCTAATTATATACTATTTTCAATTGTGAAGATGAACTTGAGTGATTAGAAATATAATTAAAATCCATCATTTCCTTTAAACACCTTACATAAAATGCATATTACATAAAATTAACTGTGGGATTATAATAATGAGATTAATAGTGATATTAAAATTTTATAATAGTGACATTAAAACACATTTTATAGTAACTTTCARCTTAACATGGTGCTATAATTAGAGTCTCAATTAGTTAAAATGTGAAGTTATGATATTAGAAGCCACAAGTTTTGTGAAAAATTAATATCTGATTCTCTTCTAGTAAAAATCAAAGCAATGAATCTAGCATGTCATCCGCTGATACCAAGAAAGCAAGTATTCTCCTCATTCGCAAGATTTATATTCTAATGCAAAATCTGGGACCTTTACCTAATGATGTTTGTTTGACCATGAAACTTTTTTACTACGATGAAGGTATTATTTGCAATATGTCCTGTTTTAGTCAGTACCTGTGTGCTATACCATTATTAAAACAGTTTGGGTACCATTCCAAATGTTTTTAGCACCTAAATTTTTATATATTTTTTGAAATTATAAATTTCGCATATAACAGCATTATTTGAAAAGGAAAGATTTGAAAAAAATAGTCTTTCGTTTTCATTTTTTTGTTTTGTTGTACTGGGGATTGAACCCAAAGCCCTCTACTATTGAGCCACAACCCTTGCCCCTTTTTATTTTTATTTTAGGAAAGAATCTCACAAAGTTGCCCAGGCTGGCCTTGAACTTGTGATCCTCCTGTCTCAGTCTCCCAAGTTGCCAGAATTACACTTCTTTAAATATATAAAAATATACACTTTTCTAGTGATAGGAACATGTTAATGTATAACTTGCCTCATAATTAAGGAAATAAAACAGTGATATGCCAATTTTCACTTATCAAATTGGTAAAATTTGTAAATCCTTTATTGACAAAGGTGTGGGAAAGCAGGTACTTTTATACCTTCTTGAGGGAATGCATATAAGTGCAACATTTTCAGAAGACAATTTGGCAGTATCAAAATTTTAAATTAAAAGATCTATAGTTAGAAAAAAATTTGAGAATATACTTGTATATGTAAGACTACATATTTATAAGAATTTTCATTATAGCTTTGACTAAAAGAGGAACAAACTGGAATCACCTTGAGTGTCCTTTCYTAGGTATGAATAAATAAATTATGGTACGTCTGTAGAATAGAATACTGTACAAGTGGTAACAAAAGATGTTCTGGCAAATTGTCTAAGAGAGATTATTAAATGAAGAAGGCATGGTGGCATATGCCTATAATCCCAGTGGYTTGGGAAACTGAGGCAGGAAGATCAAAGCCAGCCTTAGCAATTTAGTGAGGCCCTAAGCAACTCAGTGAGACCCTGTCTTTAAAGTATTTAAAAAGGCTGGGGATGTGGCTCAGTGGTTAAGTGTCCCTAGGTTCAATCCCTAGTACCAAAAAATAAAAAATAAGAACTAGGTACAGAATGATTTGTCTCATTTGTTTTTTAAGGACATGCATTTCMTAAAACCTGTGTAAATATGAAACATTCTTTTATTACATTCATAATGTTTTGTAGAACATAAGGTAACTATAATAACAACATTTAGAAAATACTAACTCTGCAGTTCTTTTCTGAACATTTTACAATGCTTTACTTTGTTTTATAAACAGTGAATCTATGAGGGTAGGTAACTTATTTTCCTCATTTGACAGATAAAGAAACCAAATCAGGGATGAAAAATAATTTGCTAAAAGTTACACAGGCATGGTGGCCCATCCCTTTGATCCCAGAGACTCAAAAGACTGAGACAGGATTGGAGCTGTAGCTCAGTGGAAGAACGCTTGCCTAGCATGTGTGAGGCACTGGGTTCAATCCTCAGCACCATAAAAAAATAAACAAACAAACAAAAAAACATTCTGTCCATTTACAACTACAAAAAAAAAAAAAAGATTGAAGCCGAAGGATAACAAGTTTAAGGTCAGCCTCAGCAACTTTAGTGAGACCCTGTCTCAAAATAAAAATAAAAAGAACAAGGGCCAAGATTGTGGCTCA